TTAAGGAACGGGCAATTCAAGCTAATTCGATCGGGTCTCTTAACTTACCAAGTTAGTGTTTCATATCTCAGTATGTATGTATCTGTTAATTAGATTTATGATCTTTTAAATAATGAATTCATACATTCTTTAATTTATCCGTCGTTCGTTTCCTATCTTTATAATTATATTAGTTTGCTTATCTGTGTACTTTGTACTATCTTTCATGTATTTTCATCTCCTAAATATTGTTCAGATTAAAGACAATCAGACTCACTTCTTGGCCTATTTTTAAACTATTCTCTTTGCTTTTGTACCAGTTTCCAGTGAATCTTCCTCTGGTCGCTCAAATGCTCTTGGTGCCTTTTCCTTCCACTCAAATGGCATGACTCCTGTATTTTCTGAACCAATATCGTCGTCAGACTTTTCAAATCTCTCTACGTCGTTTCCTCCTGGTAGTATTAGTGTTCTGCAGCTATTGCCTCATTTGGGAGGCGGTTGCATTTCTATATCTAATAGTCCTAGCAATGCTTCTAGTGGTTGTGTTCCTGCGGCTATTTATAGTACTATTACTGCTTCTACTGCAACATCTACTACTTCTTCGGCTAAGACGTTTGTATCCAGTCATTCGGCCTGTGATATGCTACTTCACTCACTTTCCTTGGACACGACTGGCCTGGCAAGCATTAAAAAAGTACGTAGGCCTATCGCTTCTGGGGCCAACAAAAAAGGTAGAAGGAAAACGAAGGGTAAGTAAATGGATTTTAGCAGCTGCTTCCTCATCTCATCTTATTTAATCTCAAGTCTGATTGCCCATGCACATTTTTTTCTTGTATCTTTATAATTAAGCTATGAATTTCTTGCTTTTCCATCTCATTTCCACTAATCTTCTTAATTTATCTATTCTCCCTCTATTTGTGTCTTCATAGCTTAACTGTAGTACTTTGTGAATAATCCTATTTTCTGGATAATCTCTCTTAATTTACCATTTTTATAGAGTTCATCGTAGCCGATTATCATACTGGAGGTCGCAGATGGATTTATATCCACTATCTGATCCATAGTCTCCCTTTACACTTGACTAACTCGTGACAATATGTTCAGACTAACTTTCGCATATTAATTGAGATTCGAGAATGGGCTTCTATAATAAGTTTTTAAACAAAAATATTTTTAGTGTTCTGCAGTACATTTATTTTTCTTCATTTATTGATAGTAATATTTCTTATTTATTACATTGGTTCCACTACCTCGTTTATCACAGAGATTATTGCCGGGGGTCCTGCTGTGGAGCAACCACCAACGATTGATTCTCGTGAACTTGGCTCATTTAGTTCACGATCTACTGTCTCACTGTCTGCTGGCCATTCGTTTGACGAATCTTTTCTTTTATTGTCTCCTCCCGCCTCGATCGGAAGTCAATCCCCTCGATTACTGCGGCAGCAGCCAATTGTGAGCCGCCCACAGCAGCTTTACGTTCGTAGAGCTATTTCTCCTCCAGCTAGTAGCCACACAGGTCGGGCGTTTCCTAGTTCAATATTATTGAAGCCTAAAGTCACAACAACTGGTACTAGTGACAATCTATTGAGAGGCCCAGTCCATAGTTGGCTTGAAGAAATGGATCGTGGGATCCGAACGAATGCCTCTGAAGTTAGTGCCGGGCAGTTAGGTGCTTTAGCAGCAAGTGAGACAGTTCCCTCTTTCTCTACTGTTGGAAGTACTAGTGGAGGGGGGGGCGGCGGTGGTCGATTCCGTCTGAAACACGGGCCCGTTGGACTGGTGGTGTTGCGTAACCTTAAAGGCTGGCTTCGTGAGGCGGGTGGAGGTGGAAGCGGCTCAACTACCACTTTTGCTCCCACTACTAGTGTCGATGTGCTTTCAAGCACTGGTAGTCTTGGCCAGAGCCACTCTATGCCAGATGGACGCCTTGCTTCCGAGTCAACAAGAACTACCAAAGGCAATCGACCAAATGGCGACTCCACAGCTCAGCAGATTTTGCTTTCTGATCGCCTGGCTAGCGTTTTAGGTGAGTCAACATTATTTGATATACCTAGATTATTTGAAACAATTGCTATGAAAGACGCAAACACATGAATAGCCCTTTACTGTCTCAATTTTCTTAAATTTTAGTTTAAGTGAGCCATACTTTTAATTGAAGTGTTTTACAGTTATTTTGTCACTTCTGGTACTGAAATTGCTTTCCTATTAGTATAATAGAAGATCAATTTCGCAGAGTTTAGGGTTTTCAGGACTCACTTAAAGGCTGTATTTTTCAGTAAGAGAGGAATCGAGTTTTCGTTTATTTCTTACTGGAAATATATAACAATATCAGCCTAACTCATTATGACTTAATAACCTAGTGGCTAACCTAGTGGCAACTCGGTCATATTGTTAGGAAGATTCAGAA